AGAGAAAAAAGAAGTAGAATAAAGTGTAGGAGAGAAGGGAGGAGGAGGCACTGCAGGAATTCTCCACACTTCTTTTCCTGCTGTGTTTTATTTCTCACTTTCAGTCTTTTTTTTTTCACTTTTTTCTAACTCCAGTCTTTCACCTTCTCTTACATTTGTACCCATGATGCACTTGGCTTGGTCACAAAGGACACTCACACAAAAAGGACCTGCCTTCTGCCGTCAAGTGTGTTCTCAGACTCTCCATTCAGAGCACAGATTACAAGTACCAGACCGGACACGCCCCTCACTATCACACACACACACACACACACACACACACACAAACTCTCTCTTTCTCTAATTTGAATAAACTTCCACCCCTCTCTCTTTCAGTAATGTGAAAAGGAAATTGAATAGGGCTATCTGGCTGGTAAGGAATCCAAGATGATAACTCACTTCAAAAAGTATTTTGCGAATGTGAGAACGACTGGCACCAGAGATAACGACGAGTGCAGAAGCAGCCAAGAGATAGTTGTGAATATACTCTGTGTGTGTGTGTACACACTGTATATATGTGTGTACACACTGTATATATGTGTGTATATATGTATATATATACATATATGTGTATATATGTATATATGTGTGTATATATGTATATATGTGTGTATATATGTATATATGTGTGTATATATGTATATATATTTATATATATACATATATACACATATATGTATATATATACATATATATGTATATATGTATATATATTTATATATACATATATGTATATATGTATATAGTATAAAAGGGCTGGGCAATGATTAAAAGTTTTAATCGTGATTAGTCGCACGACTTCTTTACGGTTAATTGTATTGTGACGCAAAATCAAAAAAGTCATGACTTCAAAAGCAGTGTATAACTCCCTTAAATTTTAAATGTACTGCCTTATGAACAAAGGTGACAAAACACTTTCACCATGAGCATTTGTTATACAGTGGCAGTTAAATAACATTTTTAGCTCTGCAATAAAGTGGGATTTTATTGCAGTTATTTATTGTATTAACATGTGAAGTACTCAACGACACACCAGTGTATACGTTTGTTCTGCGAAAACCAGCTAAAATATGAACATTTTCATAACTTTTATAAAGTGCCTGTGGATTAGCCCGTCCAGATAATGTACACTCACTCTGTCCCTGCGGCAACGTCCATGGAGAAAATCACTGATTTTATTTTGATATATTTAATTAGCTCTTTTCCCTGAGTCCTGGCATATTTCCCTGAAAGTCTCTGTTGTCTCCACTTTCCTCATACACACACACATAGCCGTGGGTGTGTATTGCCTCAGGCTGAATGCTCCTGCTCTGTCAGATGTACAAGTTGTAAGATGAACCAGTGGAGAGAAACATTTCCACATTGTTTTACAAAGCAGTAGCTCAGATTTGTGGAAGCCAGTGTCTACACCTGAATAAATCATCTGCGAACTCCAGGAAAAACAGCCTCAGATAAAGTCTGAGTCTGAAATAAAACACGTTTATACTGAGTAACTTTGGACTCTGTGAGATATTGGTTATAGTCCAGGTCTTTTAAAATCACTTCAACTAATTTTGTTCACTTTTAATGATGGCTAACGATTTAGCTTCTGGAGCTATTTTGAAGGTAAATGCTAGTTACTTTCAAATTGTCTTCATGGCTAACTTGCACATTTATCAATCCCTGGGCTACTCTTTTTATTTCTTTGCCAAATGTTACATACGTAAATACAACACAACTTTCTTATAGCCTGTTTAGTTACCATTAACCCCTTCTTCTTAGTATATCGTAGTATATGCCACCATGCTAATTTTTGGGGTTTAGCCGCAGAGCAGAGATTTGTATCTCTACATTTAAAAGCACAAGTGTAGACAGGGGGGAATTTACAAGGCCGTTTGTGTTTTACCATGGGGGAGTAGAGACAGAGATCATTTTTGTGGAGCAACAGCCGAGCAGACACACAAAAAAAAACACCGTCATTCCTCGTCAGATTAAAGGGTTTAGAGCCAGAAGACTTATCACTCACTCATCACAGTTGGGGGATGGAGAGAGTTTTGTTTTCCTACTGATGAACACACTGATAAAGTTCACATTCACATGCACACACCTAAATCGTTGATAATCTCTGTCTTTTAAAAGGTACGTCTCAAATAGCCATAATGGAGCTAAAAGGGCTAACTCAGATATATGTTAACATTGTTTAAAAATAGCCCTAAGTATGGTTAATGTGTGGGAAATAAAATAAAAATAATAAACGGAAATACAAATAATTTCGTAGTCCACAAATGGCAGAAAAATCCCAAGAGTTTTGAATGATCAAAAAGTTAGCTAAAAGTTAGCTAAAAGCGTTATTAATGTCGAATGTCAAAATTACAGAAGCTTTGAAATGTGATTTCTTTTTTTTTTTAATTGAAGTATTTTTCTCTCTCTGGACATTTGATAACACTAACAGAAGCAGAGACATTTTTTCCAGCTCTGTCACGGTTTGGCCGAACTCTGGATAACTTTTTTCCCCGAGTCTGGATTTGACCTTAGGCAGAAGACCTGCAGTGATTTTACATTTGGTTTACACTCGTTTACGCTAGACTTTCTAGAAGGAGAGAGGTGTCTGTTTTCTGTTTGCGAGGAGGATTAGATGTGATGACTGTAGGTCGGAGAGGTCAGGAGTACACACACACACACACACACACACACTGGTTTTCCCAGTACCACTGTGTACAAGGCGAGATTGTGACTGTGAAGACTGTGATTCCATTCAGATCTGGGGACACAGGAAACAAAACTTCTGGAATGTCATGTGACTTTAATTATTTCATTGTTTGAAACTGACAGGCTAGCTCTTTATTTTACTTGGGAACCAGCGTTATGACAATGTCTCGTATTTTTACCCGATGAAATCTATCGTTGTAAATGAGTCTTTTTTTTTTTTTTTTTTACTATTAGCCACTTATTGCTAGTATTGTAGTAATGAATATAACTTTCTCAACGTTAGATTAAGTTGATAGAATAAATTAAGGATGGCTCGCTACAACTTATTATGTCCGATACCAATTCCGAAACTGCAACTTGCGGTATCTACCGATACCGATATCCATCCGATACCTTCATTTTTCCTCCACCGTGTCGTGGGCTGTTGTTGCTCATGCAATATTGTCCTTGGTTGGACACAGGCTAGGTTAGGTTGGGCATTTAGGTTTAGGTGTCGGGTGTATCATTTTTTTTTTTTTCAATGATCGAGTCATCTCTAGAATTAGACATCAGTGTCTTTTTGATAAAAGAGCTGTTTTGTTGTTGTGTTGAGGATTTGGTTAATCCTCTGTGTTTTTGTGAGATTGCTGCTGCTGTTTTGTGTTTGTTTTTCGTTTTGTGTTTACTTTGTTCGCTCTCCTCCAGGCCTCTTCATTACCAACCAATCAAAAGACTTATTTCCCCGAGGGCTTCACTAACCACAGCACCATTTTCCCTCCAGGGTTCGTCCAATCAGCTGCAGTGTTCCTGCGACATTTAGTCGTGAATGGTCAATGTGCGTCTGTGGTATAGCTGAAAGGTATAGAGATAGAATGGGGCTGTGAGCAGTTTACAACCTTAAATAAGCTACGTATTTGGCCAACAAAAGACAAGGAACTGAGCAGAGTCTTACATTCAGACTGTGTGTCGTGGGATGATGTGATACATTAAAGGAATTATCACTGCAGTAAGAAGTTTGATCTAATGTAGTGGTTTCCAAACTTTTGAAAATTTTTGCTTTTGAAAAAAACACAGGACACTGATATTTTGTTTTCAGACCCCAAGCTTGCAAAGCAATGTTTGCTTTTGAAAAAAAACAGGACACTGATATTTTGTTTTCAGACTTGTTTATTTCACACATTATAAATGTAACTGTTTTTGCGCTACTTAAACGTGTCCGTTTTATGCTAGCATTGCCAACTCTGGTCAGTTAGCAAGAGGTGCGACCCCACTTTGGGAACCTCTGATCTAATGCTTGGAGAACTACTTTTGTGAAAAGTATGTAAAACTAGTGTAATTGTGGTTTTTGTTGAGAAAAAATAAATGAAAAAGTGTTGTTATATGAAAAATAAGACAAGGATCGTTGTCTTTCACTGCTTTGACTACCGGAAGCAGTCGATATTTTCTTCGTGTTATTCTCCTTCTTATTTTTTTTTACTACTTTTGTGAAAAGTTTTGTTGCTGCTTCAAATTCCATGAGGGATTCATTAACAACCAGCAGCAGTGTTTGTAAAATCAAGTAATATGTTGATGAAATTAAACTATTTAGAATCTAATATGCTGTTTGTTTTTTTTTTAGGTATCATGAAGCCTTGGTGGGTGTGGCAGTTAGCGCTGCTCACTTTGTTGGGTGTTTGCTTTGGCCCCTCCCACTGTAAGAACCAGGAGTTCCTGTCCAACACTCTGATCAACAACGTGGTGTCTGATCCTGCCACGGGCCGACTATACGTCGGCGCCGTTAACACCCTCCACCAGCTGAGCTCGGACTTGAAGGAAGAGTCCCGGGCCGAGACGGGGCCGAGGCGGGACAACCGTCAGTGCACGCCGCCCATCACCGACGCCTGCGAGGAAGCGGCGGACACGGACAACCACAACAAGCTGCTGCTGGTCCACGGGGCCAAAAATGTTCTGGTGGTGTGTGGCAGCGTCTTCAGAGGGATGTGTTCACTGAGGAACCTGAGCAGTGTGGAGCAGCTGCTCTACTTCTGTGACACCAAAGGAGAGAAGTCCTACGTGACCAGCGCTGAGGAGGGGGTGTCTGTGGTCGGAGTCATGTCCTACTTCATCAAGGACGGACAGAACTTCAGTGTCTTCCTGGTGAGGAAACCGTAGAACACACGTTTAGCTTTTATTAACTTGTCGAAATGTCTTTTTCATTGAAATGTATTCTTTGATGGATGGAGTGATGGATGGATGGATGGATGGATGGATGGAAGAAAGATAGATAGATAGATAGATAGATAGATAGATAGATAGACAGATAAATGAGTGGATGGATAGATGGATGGATGGATGGAGTGATGATACATGGGTGGATGGATGGATGGATGGACGGTTTATTTTTGCAATGTTCATTATTGAATTAAAAATCTGGGTAGATGGATAAATGAATGGACGGTTTATTTTTGCAATGTTCATTATTGAATTAAAAATGGTGAAGGAGCTTCCACCTAGCCTGATTTTCAATGCGCAGGTTTTTAGATCACCTTCTCCTTGGCTCCACAGGTAGGAAAAGGCTACGGCAGCCCTGGCAGCACCAAACTTATCTCCCCCC